TATTATTATTTTTTTGGAAAAGTCTTTAACGAAATTTAACATATTTAAGAGTAGATTAAATAAATTTGTTTATTTGAGTGCATTTATAATGATTTAAAGAGTTTAGCTAATCACACAAGTAACAATACCTATTCTAAATTACGTGATGCAATCTCTTTGTGTATTACATTTTTAATGTTAAAGAAATATGGTACCAAAATTAATCCTATCAAACTGGAAGATGTTCCGATGGTAGCGTCGTTTGATCTAAGATATCTGCTTTCACAGTAGTCGCCTTAGGCGTGCAATGGCGCTTCGTCTTTATATTCTTTGTACGCTTCTTTTTCTTCTTCTCCGTCCTCTCTTTCTTGTCATTCTTCGACCGAATCACTCGATTGTGCGGTATGTCGATTTGCCCTGTGGTACGCTGCGGTTGACTGACATCTTCAACTTTGTAAGCGCGAATAAAGAAAGGGGCTTCACCCGTTTTTTCAAACGACGATTCCTTCATGGAATCTTCGGTTGACCGAACAAGTCGATTCTTCAGTTTATTCCTTTCCGCGGAGAACGATTTACTCTCTTTCGAAGTATCAACGAGCGTTCTGACAAATCGATTCCTCAGTTTGTCCTTCTCTTCGGACGATGATTTACTCTTGTCCAAAGTATCTTCGACCATTCTGACAAATCGATTCTTCGGTTTGTTCTTCTCCTTGAACAAGTCGTTTCCGGAAGTATCCTCAGCCGTTCGGATAAATCGCAAGTTCTTCGGCTTGTCCTCTTCGGATGACGATCCACTTTCCGTGTTAACCTTGACCCTTCTGATAAGTCGACTTTTCGGATTGTTCTCCTTCTCAGAATTACGGTTTGACGCATCCCTAATCGTTTGGATAAATTGATCTTTGTGTTTATTTTTCTTTTCTTCGGACGATGATATACTTTGCAAAGTATCCTCTTTAATGTGCCTTTTTCTTCGTTTTCTCTCGTCCTCTTCCGAGGATGATGAAGAAGACGAAGATGAATCATCATCATCATCATCATCGTTATCTTCATCGTCGTTGTTGTCATCATTACAATTTTCATCGTCATTGTCGTTATCCTTTTTTGATTTTTCGCGTCGTTTTTCATTCTTTTTATCATCGTCATTGTCACAATCACATTTTTCATCGTTCTTTGATTTCACGAATTGTTTCTTACAACCATTATCATCATCGTTATCATCACAATTTTCACCGTTATCTTTCTTTTTTGATTTTACACGTTGTTTCTTGCTTTTTTTACAACAATTTTCATTACCATCGTCATCATCATCATCATCGTCATCATCATCGTCGTCGTCGTCGTCATCACTGGAAGAGCTACTGTTGTCATCGTCGTCATCTTTCCTCCGCTTGGTTGCACGCCTCACACGGTCAAATTCCTTCGTTTCTTCCAACTGCTCCTCGTTCTCCAGAGACATCCATTTATTGCTAAGGTACAAGTCTCTCCTTGTACGCTTATCAGCAACTTTCTCCTCGCTAGAGGATGAACTCGAACTGTCGGCCTTTTTTTCGTCTATAGTAGTGTCATTGACCGTGATCACTGTCGTCGTCGTCGTCGTCGTCGTCGTTAACGCATCATCCTGATCCTGCACATCTTGCGCCGAGACAACGTACGTAGCTGTAAATCCTACGAGAAAACTCGCGAAAAAAAATAGCGCACCACGACGCATAATCGATCGTGCAACTCAGAGAAGGGCGATTTACACTCGCGATGGCGGTCAGATGGTCGCCTTATATACACCGTGGTTGCGAAACGCTGATAAAGAAAGGAGTCATCGCGGGCGAAACACGCTATCGCTGACGTAGCGATGCGATGCGTGCTGAAATCGGTAGAGAAGTAGAGGACAGAAGGCGAAAGGTGGGGAAATCCGAGCGAGCGAAGAGAGATTTTGCGTTATCGCCGTCGTTAACTCGTCGATGGTCCGCTTTGATTCCACTTCGATTCGTATACTTCGGAACTCGGAACTCCGGCAGCTTCGCGCGTGCTTTCGCGAGATCGGCGATTTGCACCCGCTTCAGCCGGCGAATCATCGATCGCGCGCGAACATCAGCGAACACGGGCGAAAGGTTAACGCCGCCCGGCACGCACGCAACGTGCGGATCAACGGCCACGATAAGGAGAAGGAGGTGGGCGGAGGTTTCTTAGCCGGAGGTTCCGCGTCTTATCGAGATTCTACGCGGCGCGCGCTGGTAGCGAACGCGACGGCTCTCGCATCGAGATCAGACTCGATGCGTGTGATACCGGCTCCTCATAGCTAGGCAAGTGGCTCGAGGCTGCAGAATAATTACTTTGAAATAACGTCGCTGCCTTCATCTCGATAAGATAAGAATCTCGAGGAGACGTAATGAGCGACTGACGCTGCGAACGAGATGCTTACTCAGAGAGTGTTTGGCAAAAAGAAGAAAAAACCCTACCGAGAATTATGGATGGCGTCGAGAGAGAAAAGCCAACTCTCTCTCGTCGGATATTATTAACTCTTTACCGAACTCATCATCATCTTTGATGGCAACTCGATAGCAATTTACACTTTTAAATTTGATGACTATTGTAATTTTATTCTGCTTATCTCAGAAGATATCCTTCGATAATGTGATTCAAAAGTACTATTACTTATCATTAGATTACATATATATAAATTATACATACTTATTTCAAATTTATTGTCAACGATATATTGTATAATGATTTCTTTCAAGTTAATTTTATCGAATTATTGAAGAAACAAACACTATCTCTCAATTTGAACGAAAAAATTAATACTGAAATATATTGTATAAATATTTGTCAGGAACATTTAGTAAAAGGAGTATTATTTTTTATTTAATCTTTATATTTTTATTCGCTTGGCTTATTACGAAGTAAAGGTATACTTCATATTTTTGTTTTTATTAACGTTAGTGTAGTTTATTAAATGTACTGCTAGATTTTTTATTATATACACCTAGTGATTTCCATTTCGTATATAACTCGTATATAAAATGAGATATTAAAAAAACTATTAATAACAGTTCCTGATTCAATTTGGAAATACAATCTCAATTTACAACCTCAGTTTTTAGCGTGTTAGCGATCTAATTTTGGAACAATTTACACTTTGATTTTAAAAGAATATATTTTTCACAATTTAACATTGTAAAGAAATGGTTTGTCGGATGGAATTCGAAAAATTTATGGGTTTTAACGAATCTATAATTATATTTACATGCCTATGCATACTTAATTGTACTTTAATTCATAATTCTCGTGAAAACTGCTCGTTTTACGGCAACTTTAATCCGACATCGCCCATTTCTCGTCGTAAAATATGAATGAGACAGGGGATCGCGTGTAGCTGGAAACAGGAACAAGTAAAGACATTTTGGAGAAACGCTTTTAAAGCGTATGTCGAGGAAAATACAAAGTCCCTCGCGCAAGAGAATCGTTAAATTCTTGTAATGACGTACAATTTTCTGTGCTTTGCGATGTAACAGCCGACTAACAGGCGAGTTATCGTTCCTTTTAATTTCTGCACTCATTCTCGCGAACCCACTTGGAAGAGAATAGCATTAATCATTGAAGGTGCAGTACTTACACGAGTGAATGAACGAACATTCGTTCGAATCTCCTTTATCAAATGTGATAATACACAATTTCCACAGAGTTATTCTCGACGCTTTTAAAGAATCGTTTTATCACGAATTTACTACGAATTTCCCTTTGCATTATTATTCCAATGTAATTATTAAATTATCTTTTCGTTAGAAATTTTGGTTTAATAAAACTCGCGTTTGATATTTTGAAAAGTAATTTGCGTTCTTCAATTTTTTTGCGAGAATATCATGGACATTCAAAAATCATTGAAAGATCATTGTTTCTTTATTTCATTTAGATCCGCAGAAGAAATAATGACGATGCTGTTGGAGGCTAGCGAGGAAGGTATAGGCGGAAGCTGGGACGGCGGTAGAATCGTATGGAGCGTGCGTTACGCGCTCGAAGGCGAAGAGGAGAACAGCTCGCAGTTGACGGGCGTCGATCAGCAGCAACGAATGCAGCAACGCCAGCTGCAGCACCATCATCATCATCATCTGATCGAGAGACGAAAGCTGCAGGCACGGCTAGAGATCCAGAAGGATGATATACAAGCGGTGCTTCCCATCTCTAAGGTAATACGCGATTCTTCTAGCGATTTAAATTCGAAATTTATGCAGGTGAATTCGAAAAACTTACAATAGAACGCGTCAAAAGTTCAGTAGAAGTAGTCGCAATCGTATCTGGAATATTATTATGTGGGCGTACATGTATCAAGATATCTTACTTTTCACATATTAATTTTAACGGCGGATTCTTTGATCGGTTTTGAGACGGTTTTCTTTAGCGAAAATATTGAAAGACGCCAATATTTTTCAAGCGATTGAAAAGAAAGCCTTTTTACCAATTGAATTTCAATGGTACAAAATTATATTTTTCTTACGTAAATGAGTAGAATATTATAATATGAAGTTTAAGTTATAAAAATATGTAATGCTGAAATAGACTACAAAAAAGACTTTACGCTTTTTACGGCTTACGGCGTAATCTATGATATAGTAGAAAAAGAATTTTGAGACATAGAGAAAAGTATTTGAAGGATTTTTGCGATTTCGGTTAGAGAGGATTTTGATGCTTTTCTCTCGGTTACGATTATTTTCATCGTGACATTCTTTGTCCTTCGTCTCCTCCACCTCGTGCTTCGTTCTTCGTCTGTGAAAATCCCTTGGAAAAGAGCTAACTCGAACGACGAGCACGATCAATACGGTCGCGTATATCGATCACCTCGCCACGCGAGAATCTGTTTCCACTCGGTCGGCCAATCTACGATCCTCGCGAGTACCGAGACAAAAGAGAAAAAGAAAGGAAAGGCGATGAGAAAAAGGAAAAGCTCTGTGAAAAGAGAGAGAGAGAGAGAGAGAGAGAGAGAGAGAGAGAAGATCGACAAAGGATAATGCTTTTCTCTCTTTGGCTCCCACGACGAGCACTCTGATACTTTTCTCTTCGGCTTTTCCGCGCCCGCGCCTTCACCATAACGGCGATATTCCTAGTCCGTAGCAAAATTCCATCGATACCGCAGAACATCTGCTGTAACAACGGATCGTAATGAAATTTTTGATTGCCGCACGTTGAACCGCGTCGACGCATCTCTGCGTTCCATTATAAAGTGAGATGTGTGTAGAATGGAACATTAATTTTCTTTAGTTTGTTAGAAATGTGCAAAACATATGCAAAATAATAATGTGCTTCTGAATATATCTTAATAGTGATAATAATTTAATTGCAAGTGATTAACCTATTTCGATTATTTTTATCAATGATATATTATGTAATAACGAATATTTTTGTAATAAGACCAATTTGTTCTAGAATGAAATTTTATCGAATTTCATTCTAAAAAGAAATTAAAATCGGTGTGGTAAATGTGCTTATATTTATATATGATTGTTAAATGTGGTTTTCGTAATTACTTTTCATGCCACAACAAGTCCTCGCAATTAGAACACACCTCTTGGTATGTAAATTAGATCTGACGGTTCCACATTATCCATGACATGCTCACAATTTCCAGTAACACGATAGCAGGTGCATAGTACATAATTCTGTGTATAAAAGTCAACATGAAGATCACGTACATGATCAGACACATTCACCCAGAATAGAATCTTAGACAATTAACTGACTGTAAGAAAGATATTTACGCGGTTTGTATAATAATTATTGAAGAATTAAAATTACCGTTATTAATATAATTATGTTAAATCAATGAAAATTTTGTGTGATAGGTTTAATAGATACGGAATAGCAGAATGTTGTAAAATCATACTTTATATTTAGATAACTTGCAAGTGGATCTTATTTTTACAAATAAAATTTTAATTTTTAAATATTATTTTTTAAGACATATGGAAAATTTACAAGTGTGATGGATGATTGTTATCAATATTACTGTTAAAAACTTTAAATAAAAGATAATTAATGTTGGACAGTTTCTTTGCGACGTTTCGTAGATAATTTGCAAATTTGTTATACATATCTATAAGTTACATCAAATTTGACGGTGCTATTATAATAAGGTCGATCTTGAAATCTGGAATCAGTATTGGCGAATAACGCAGGATAAAGATCGAAGGCATCGAGAAAAGAGGTTGCACGAGGTCTCTTTTAATTAAAAACTTTACTTACACAGTCTCGCGCGTGGAAGGAGCTGCAATTAGAGTAAGGATAATCAAGAAGCGCGGACGGAGTTCCCGACAACTTTACGCGAACGAGCGAGCGAGAGAACGAGCACGCGGCGCCTTCAAAAGGATATGTAAACGAATTAATTATCTCATTTATCAATTAGCGACCTCTGACACGCGCGCTTGTTTTCTCTGCTGAAATTTATCAAAGTAATAGCCCGTGTATTGTACATATTTTATGCACAGCAATATAAAATCCTTGCGTTTCTCTTATATCCATCAACCTCCTTGCATTCGCCGTCGATGAAACATCATTCTACGTTGAAAATGTTTTCCATGTTGTTTTAATAAAAATAAATATTCGTAGAATAACCTTGTTGATCTCGGAAATATCTGGAAAATAAGTCATCTGTGTGCTTCATTTATGTATTAAAATATAAATTTATGATTCTGAAAGTTAAATTGCTAAATTCATGCGTCAAGTTTACTCATTATTGTATGTGTTACACTGTTCAAAATTACAGCGGGTCAATCTTTTGA